GACTTCAGGCTCTACTACAAAGCCACAGTCATCAAGACAGTATGGTACTGGCACAAAGACAGAAATATAGATCAATGGAACAAAATAGAAAGCCCAGAGATAAATCCATGAACCTATGGACACCTTATCTTCGACAAAGGAGGCAAGAATATACAATGGAAAAAAGACAACCTCTTTAACAAGTGGTGCTGGGAAAACTGGTCAACCACTTGTAAAAGAATGAAACTAGAACACTTTCTAACACCATACACAAAAATAAACTCAAAATGGATTAAAAATCTAAATGTAAGACCAGAAACTATAAAACTCCTAGAGGAGAACATAGGCAAAACACTCTCTGACATAAATCACAGGAGGATCCTCTATGACCCACCTCCCAGAATATTGGAAATAAAAGCAAAAATAAACAAATTGCACCTAGTTAAACTTAAAAGCTTTTGAACAACAAAGGAAACTATAAGCAAGGTGAAAAGACAGGCTTCAGAATGGGAGAAAATAATAGCAAATGAAGCAACAGACAAAGGATGAATCTCAAAAATATACAAGCAACTCCTGCAGCTCAATTCCAGAAAAATAAAAGACCCAATCAAAAAGCGGGCCAAAGAACTAAACAGACATTTCTCTAAAGAAGACATACAGATGGCTAACAAACCCATGAAAAGATTCTCAACATCACTCACTATCAGAGAAATGCAAATCAAAACCACAATGAGGTACCATTTCTTGCCAGTCAGAATGGCTGCTATCCAAAAGTCTACAAGCAATAAATGTTGGAGAGGGTGTGGAGAAAAGGGACCCAACCCTCATACTGTTGGTGGGAATGCAAACTAGTACAGCCACTATGCAGAACAGTGTGGAGATTCCTTAAAAACTGGAAATAGAACTGCCATATGACCCAGCAATCCCACTTCTGGACATACACATGAGGAAACCAGAACTAAAAGAGACACATGTACTCCAATGTTCGTCACAGCACTGTTTATAATAGCCAGGACATGGAAGCAACCTAGATGCCCATCAGCAGACAAATGGATAAGAAAGCTGTGGTACATATACACAATGGAATATTACTCAGTCATTAAAGAGAATACATTTGAATCAGTTCTAATGAGATGGATAAAACTGGAGCCCATTATACAGAGTGAAGTAAGTCAGAAAGAAAAACACCAATATACTATACTAAGGCATATATATGGAATTTAGAAAGATGGTAACGATAACCCTATATGCAAGACAGAAAAGAGACACAGATGTATAGAACAAACTTTGGGAGTCTATGGGAGAAGGCGAGGGTGGGATGATCTGAGAGAACAGCATTGAAACATGGATATTATCAAGTGTGAAACAGATTGCCAGTCCAGACTGGATGCATGAGACAAGTGCTCAGGGCTGGTACACTGGGGTGTCCCAGAGGGATGGGATGGGGAGGGAGGTGGGAGAGGGGTTCAGGATGGGGAACACATGTAAATCCATGGCTTGTTCATGGCCATGTATGGCAAAAACCACTACAATATTGTAAAGTAATTAGCCTCCAACTAATAAAAATAATTGGGAAAAAATAAAGCAATCAAAGTAATAATCCCCATTAATAAAAATATCATCCCAACAGTTACACAAAAGTGTAATCAACAGTCACTCAAAATAAAGAAATGAATTCCCAACAAATTAGGATTGAAAGAAAATCTTCTTCATTCTGGTAAAATGTATATGCTACAAAGATAAAGCAAATACTAAACTTAATGGTGAAATGTTAAGTGTTTTCTTTCATTGAAGCCAAATAGAACTATCTCTGTTAAAGTGTGTACCGGGCCCTAGCCAGTTGTAGAAAGGAAAGAAAAATAAATAAATTTTAATAACTAGAAATCAAGGACTATATGATAGTCACACATATGATTGTGAGATAAGCAATCCAAAATAATCTACAAATATATTACATTACTAATGCAGTTGAGCAATATAAAATTTAAAATATATTTTATATGCAAGTAACTAGAAATAGAGATGAAATTTTTTTTTAATTCTTAAAGTAGCATAAGAATCAAAATCCTTAGGAATATATTTATGAGACCACAGCACAGAAAATTACAAAACACAAAGAAATTAATTTCAGTTGTAAATAAATGGGAGGATATACTATGTTCATGAATTCAAAGACTGATGAAACAAAAAATGTCAAAGTCTTTCACACTTCTTGAACAGATTCAACTCTCTGTATGTATGTAAAGGTGAAAATCAGTTCTAAAATTTGTATATTTTAAAAGGCCAAGAATCTTTAAAACATACTGAAATTTAAAAAGCAAGTAGGAGGACTTCCTCTACCTTAAATATTAAGCCCATGAAGTTAAAACTGTGGAATGAGTGAAAGAATAGACAACTAGATATAGACCATCAACTCAAAGTATTTCATTTGCCTTTCACATATCTATCTTTCCCCTTCTTGCTGTCTGCATCAGGAGGCCGATCTGAGTGGACCACATCAATATGGCTCCTTTGAAATGAGTGCTCTTATAAAAGAGGCTCCAAAGAGAGCCTTTTCCCCTTCTACCACATGAGGGGACAGCAAGAAGGCATCACCTCTGAGCCAGGAAGCATACCCTCACTAGACACCCAATCTGCCAGTGCCTTGCTCTTGTACCTCCAGCATTCAGAATTGTACAGAAAAAAATTTCTCTTGTTTTGAAGCTACTCAGTCCTCATTTGTTAAGGAAGTCCAAATGGATTAGGGCAGAAACAGAGTAGGTGAGTGGTTGCCCAGATGGAGCTTCATGGGGAGAAATGGTGGGTGACTGCTAGTGGGAATAAGTTCCTTTTAGAGATCACAGAATGTTCTAAAATTGAGTGTGGTGACAGTTGCACAACTCTATGAATATACTAAAAACATTGAACTATGCAATTTAAATGGCTGAATTATATGACATATAAGTTGTATCTCAAAGAAGTTGTTACATAAAAACAAATCAACAAAAATAAAAAGTACCACAATACTTATAGTTCTCTGTGCTTGATCTGGATTGTCCATATCACCTGACCTCTGCAGTAATAAATGCCAGATAAAAAGCTGTACCTGAGCATGACTTTTGTGTTATATAACTAGATGATATAACAACTCTTATCTCTCATATTTCCTTCAGCAATCCCAATATTTCTCTCATTTATATATTGACATCAACCTTAAAACACTATTACTAGTTTATAACCTGGTGCATAGTAGGTGCACATTGGATGTAGATTAAATTAACAGTGACTATATGACCACCATGCCATGGACTACCACATTCTCAAAACCAAGCTTTCCCTTTCCTAAATTTTTGAATTCTCCCATTTTTGGAGGATGGGGAGTAAGAACTGGTGTGCTGTCTATCTGATTTTTGTGTTTATCTTCACTGCTGGATGAATAAAGTGTTAGTCGCTCAGTTGTGTCTGATTCTTTGCCACCCCATGAATTGTAGCCCACCAGGCTCCTTTGTCCATGGAATTCTCCAGGCAAGAGTATGGGAGTGGGTTAGCCATTCCCTCTTCCAGGTGATCGTCCCAACCCAGGATTGAACACGGGTCTCCTACACTGCAGGCAGATTCTTTACCACCCGAGCCACCAGGGAAGCTGTATACTTTTGTTCAGTTTGTTTTCCAGAAAATCAGAATCTTTGGTTTGGAATAATTTTGAGAGTCACTCCATTTAATTCTATATAACTTCTCCTAGTCTATATTAGTTAATACATTCACTCAACAAATTAGTATTAAATGTAAGCAAAACCTGTGCCAAATCCCATGCTAAACAATGAATAAACTGGCCTTTGGAAACTGCCCTCCAACATGGGAAGTTCAAGATAATAAGGGAAGTAAAAGGCATTTGATTGAGGGATATTTAAAACTATTTCTGTGACAAATATCTCACAGAAAAATAAAATTTCTAAAATTGTAATGTCCTAAAATTCCCAAGTGACTGAAAATGATTCCGTCTTTAGAGTACTATGCTAGGAAACCTTGCCACTAGAGGGCCAGAGGGAGCACATGTGAGACAGCTGTTCACAGAGTTGAAACACAAAGCTTGAAAGGCTGCTGATTCCAGGTTCTAAGGAAAGGAGCTCATATATGCAGTCACAAGAGGGGGCTGTTACTTCTGCAAACCGAAGCTCCATCCAGGGTAACAGAGAAGTTATCACTGAGTTGTACAAAGAATCAACTCTTATCCCCTTTATCACCTGTACTTCAAAATTTCACATTGAGTGTGTGCGCAGTTTTAAGGACATGAGTAAGCCATTTTCCAAATGTAGAGCAAAGAGCTGACCCTCCACAGGGAAAAAAGGGAGAGGTGATTAATTGTTTAATTTTAAACGGGCAAATGTTTGTTGCTAGAGTGGAGTAATAAGCTTAGATATTATAACAGAGAAGGATGAGTAGTCTTAAATTTTATTTTATCCCCTTTCTTTAATAATAACCATTGTTGGGGATAACAGAAATAGCTTTATGGTTATTTTTGTCTCTCTTATAAGATGGCTTCATTTCATTTCCCTTTCCAAATTTTATTTTCCCCTCTTTTCCTCTCTTCTTTTCTCCTACTATCTTCAGTTCATTTCACCCCAAGTCATGAGCAACGAGACTAGTAACTATGCATTATAAAGGACCCAAGTGAAATAGGAATAAGTACCATACAAGTCATTGGTTCCTGGGCCAAGACCAGAGGAATTCAACAATGTTCATTTGAAATATGCTCACACAGACATAGGCTATTTATGTTTGAACCTTTAAAATAACCTTAATGTAAACTTTCTGAATTATGGCTTAACATTGGGAAAATATTATTAGTCTCTTTTGAGATTTGTGTTTAGTCCTGGGCATGGTAATAGCCCCAATCAAGAGACAGCTGACGCTTGGCTGGGGAACACCCCAATGAGCTGCCTGGTGTGGGCTGTGCACGTGGCGGCTGATTTGGCACTTGGGACCTCCCCCAACTTAAGCTTAGACACAGATCCTGAGCTCTGAGGCCTGGGACTTCAACTATGAGACTGGTGACAGGAATAAATCTTCTCCTAACTTTGGGTAAGTGATCTGGGCCTAAGAAAGAATGACTTTCATGGCTAAAGACAAAGACAGATGTCTGCTGCTTTCACTTCCTTCACTGTGCTTCACCAAATTACAGGGAAGAATGTGCATCTCTGTGTTTCTATGTGTCTGTGTGTTTGTCTAGAGACCCTGATCATCACTGTGAGAGGCTATCACATCCTCTACTCACAGAAGATCCCCTGAGTCTCAGTTTTCAGACTGTAAGGAGTCTGGGGCTTCATTGAATCCAAGGGTCACAGAAAACAACAATTTATCTTTGGCTTTGTGGCTCTAAGTAGCTCAGTAATAAATACTAGTAATACTTATCTTGTCCTGTGCAACAAATATGAAAATCCTCACGGACAGGGCAAAGCCAGAGCAGGGAATTCTGGCAGTGTTTATGAATCTGCGCTTTAGCCACACCCTGATTTGACAATCCGGAGCTGATCAATTGTTTCTCAATACCCCAGGTATATTGGGAGATTCTAAGACCACACAGCCAAACTCAGCAGAGGGCGCTGAAGAAGAACCTGTGCACTTGCCCTGTAATCACTCCACAATCAGTGGACCTGAGTATGTATATTGGTATCGACAGATTTCCCACCAGGGTCCAGAGTACTTGATTCACGGTCTGAACAACAATGTGACAAATAAGATGGCTTCTCTGAGCATCGCCAAAGACAGAAAGTCCAGCATCTTGGTTCTGCCCCAGGTCACCGTGAGAGACACTGCTGTGTACTACTGCATTCTGAGAGACACACACTGGGACAGATGGGGCTGCACCTGTGCAGTATGTCCTTGCTGGGGAAGGGAAGCAGCAGCAGTGTACCTTGTTAGAGCCAGTTTGGAAGGCAACCTTAGTATACCCACGAAAACATGTAATAGTCATATCCTTAGTTAACAATATTGTACTCAGCACTTTAAAAATTACTAAGAGAATATATTTAAAGTATTCCTATGACAAAAAAACAAATAAATAAAATTTTAAAAATAAGGAGAGCAAGAGAAAACTTTTGGACATAACCAGTATGTTTATGACATTGATTATGGTGATGGTTTCAAGACTACATTTTTCCCCAAAGCTTATCAAGCTTTATACATTAAATGCATACTGGTTTTTGTACATCACTCATATGTCAAAGAAGTTATTTTTGAAAAATTTCAACACACTGACCTTCATAATATTAAAATTGTTTGCTTCTTAAAAGACACTGTTGGAAAAATACAAGCAAAAGCCACAGACTAGCAGAAAGTCTTTGCAAAATATTTAACAAAAGATCCATATCTAGAATATATATATATTATATATAATATGTATACTATACATATAAACTCTTACAATTTAATAAAACAAAAATTTATTGCTTTTAAATGGGCCAAAAATTTGAACACTTTACCAAAGTATGCCTATGTATGGTAAATAAGTACATGAAAAAATGCTCAGAATCATTATAGTATGGGAGATACAAATTAAAGGAATAAGATACCATGACATACCTAATAGAACGGCTAAAATAAACATGACTGGCAATTCCAAGTGTTAATGAGGTTTTGGAGCAATTGGAGCTCTCATACAGTGCTGCTAAGAATGTAGATGGTCCAACTGCCCAAAACACAGTTTCACTATTTCTTCTAAAGTTAAGCATACACATGTCACATAACCTAGCATCTCCTTGCCTACTTATAATCCAAAAGAAATAAAACCTTATGTACATACAAAAAAACACTTAGACATGAATGTTCATAATAGCTTATAAAAGAGTAATTGGAAATAACCTTAAAGTCCATCAATTGGTGAATAAATAAATAAATTGAAAACAAAATAAATAAATTGATATACAGCTGCACAGTGGAACACTACTTAGCAATTCAAAGGATGAACTACTACTATAACAACATAGATGAATCCCAAAATAAATACACCCAAAGAAACCAAGAGAAATTATATACTCTATAATACTATTTACATAATATTAGAGAAAATGCACACCAGTGTATAGTAAGAAAAAGCAGAGTAGTGACTGCTTTGGGATGAATAGGGGTTGGAGGGACATAGTAGGAAGATATATAGGAGGGATTAAAAATGAGCAGAGAATAGGGCCACTAGGGACTTTAGGATTGTACATCTGCTCTTTACCTTCACTGTCATAATTTCATCTTTGTATGCCCATGTAAAAAATGATCAAATTGTACATTTATGCAGTTATTCAGTGGTCAAGTATGCTCAATAAAGCAGTTTTTTTAAAAGAATAAAACCAAAAGCAGATAGAACCTAATGATGAAAAACAAGCTACAAATAACAGAATTTTTCACTTTCTCATAATTACAAAGGGGGAACTGTTTCAAACATGTGCATATCACAGGATATTTTATGTATCTCATAATAAATAGCATACTCTGTTGTAAAAAGGGATGTAATCCATATATAAATTAATTCCCAAAAGTCATGAATTATTCAACATTTCTCAGTCTAGCCAAGGGACGGCAGTGTCTAAAAAATATTTGAGTTAGGTTTGTGCAGTGCTGGACAAAGAAGAAACCAGAAACCTGGTTTCTGATTGGTGCAGTTTCCTGCACCAATGGGAGACCACTGAGCTAAAGTGACCTCTGCTGGGGAAGCGCATTCAAGAAAACCTGAGTGGGCTCTGTTTCCTAAGGAATCATGGATGGAGACTCTTCTGCAAGTACTAGAAGGGACATTGGAGTTGCAGACAGCCTGTGAGGATGTAGTTAAATGTAGGGGAGTCAGGAGATAATGCCAACTTCCTGAGGGCAGGAACTGAGTCACCTTTAATCCTGGGAAAGCCCTTTTGAGACCCAGATACAGAAGTAAAAGTAGACAGTCTTCTGTGTTGACATAATAACCTTGTTGCCTGGGGGAGTGAGGCAGGGAAAGAAAAAACGATCTCTAGTATGAACGGAAGATCTTATGTGGGTCTCCTGTATTCTCTTTACTTTTGAACAGGTCTCATAGCCAAAAACTGGACCACTGATCACAGTCCCTCATCGTCCAAGAGAGAGAAGATTTCACCATAAACTGTAATTCATCAGAGAACTCACATGCCTTATACTGATGCAGGCAAAAGCATAGTGAAGGTCTGATCTTCTAGATGGTGTTGTGGAAAATTAAAGAAGGAAAAAGTCAATGAAAAATAAGTGTCAAGTTGAATGAGAAAAAGCAGAAAAGTTCCCTGAATATTACAACCTCACAGTCCAGCCACTTGAGCATCAACTCTGTAGAGAAAACACATAGCGATCTCCAGACCTCTCCAGGCTGTCCTGAAATATACAGCTGGACCACAGATGCTCCGTGACAGAGGACTCCTGAGGGGTGGCTGAGACACTTGCTGAGATGAGGAGCCTAAGAAAGATGCTATTGTCCCATTGCCAAAGAAAGGGAAAGGAGTCAGAGCAGAAGAAGCTATGCCTTCATTCCAAAATTTAATTTGGCTTTTTGTCCTGGTAACTGTTACTTTTTAGTAGATAAAACCTGAAACAGGGGTGAGAATAGCATGAATGTCAGTGATTGCTGCAATAACTGTGCACAAATCTTGTGCCTTAATTGTCCCTGGGAAATTCTTTCCCATCTGTTATTCACATACCTTGTTAATAGAAAGAAATTCTGAGTCATTTATCAGGTTCCTTGTGGCATATTAAGACTGCAACATGAGTACTGGTACAATATTGACATACTGGGAAGACTCATGGGGAGTACTCTTTTCTAAGTGTACGTTATAAATATAGAGGTAGGGGTAGAGGCAGAGAGAAAGAGAAGAGACATGGATCAGCATCTAATCTGGTCTCCTACTGGCCTTCACTACTCCAACATCGGACCTCACCTGTTCTCACTGCCCATGGGCTGCAGTCACACCCAGTGGCCTCTCACCTTTGATATAGCTTCACAAAGAAACAAGTCATACTCAGTCCTGCGCAGAGCTCAATTTGTAGACTTTTTTCACTTGTCTTACTGTTGTTGATAAAAAGATCAGAATTTAGGACCAGAACTGGGACATATATATCTTTTGTCTTTAGTCCTTCACAATCACTGTTACTTTATCTGCCTCCCTCCCATCTCTGTTCCTGCTTCATGTCCAGCCCCTCATGTACCCTGTGACCCTTTACTACCCCTTTTGCAGACCCAAAGTCTAATATTTCCAGTCACTGAACTACTTTTCAAAATCTTCTCTCACTTTATGGTTTCCATATCCATTTCCCAAATCAGTCTTTAAAATGGAGTGATTTATACCCTAAATTACATTCAGTTCAACATGCTGGATTAACTGTCCTCAGATTGCATTTACAAAGGGAATGATTCAGGACATTGAAAAGAAGTCACCTCAAATGTGCATTTTCAGTTGTTTTAACAGTTGGGTAGGAAGAATGTTTCATGGTAAAACAGTTTCCCACATTTCCAAACCACAGTGTAGATCGTGTGCCTGTGTGTAGGGCAGATTCCCTGAGCAAGGGTGCCAGCACCAGTGTTGCTATTTTTTTAGAAATACATTTTTATTCAAATCTGTTCAGAAGGAAAATATACTATAAGAAGGAAAAAGGATAAAGATTCTTTTGCTTTATCTACACTACACACAATAATTGGCAGCATCTGTTATGTAAGATGGATTTCATTTTTATAACAATCATGGAAATAATGGTGTACAATACACACTTAAAGAAGCATATTCATTTAGATTTAATATAGCAGAAGGCATCAAATGGAGATATCATTATCTTCATTTTGCTGGTAAGAAACTGAGAGGCAGAAAAATTCCCATCAAGTGATGCTTCTTGAGAACATGAATTCTGCGGAAGCACAGGAGATCCACAGCCACTCCAGAGACACTGAAGCCACTCTCCCATTATGTAGTCAGTCCTAGCCTCCACCCTCTTCCTTTCATTAAGTACCACTGACCAAATTTTCTCATGGTCATCACTCACTGACCTGGGGCCTAGAGGTAGGTCACACTTTGTACCCACTTCCCCAAACTGCATATCAGAAAATGGTGAAATCTGGGTTATTTTGCTCCTGATGCTATCAGGTAAATGAGCTGCATCTTCTTTGATTCCAAAAATCTCTTCCCAGGGACAATGTATGCAGTCCTGGAACTGTCAGTTTCCTTCAGTTGAAAGCAGGGCTTTATAGTTACTTCTGAATACATTCAGAAAATTAAGATCATGGCATCTGGTCCCATCACTTCATGGGAAATAGATGGGGAAACAGTAGAAACAGTGTCAGACTTTTTTTTTTGGGGGGGGGGCTCCAAAATCACTGCAGATGGTGATTGCAGCCATTAAATTAAAAGATGCTTGCTCCTTGGAAGGAAAGTTATGACCAACCTAGATAGCATATTAAAAAACAGAGACATTACTTTGCCAACAAAGGCCCATCTAGTCAAAGCTATGGTTTTTCCAATGGTCATGTATGGATGTGAGAGTTGGACTGTGAAGAAAGCTGAGCACTGAAGAATTGATGCTTTTGAACTGTGTTGTTGAAGACTCTTGAGAGTCACTTGGACTGCAAGAAGATCCAACCAGTACATCCTAAAGGAGATCAGTCCTGGGTATTCATTGGAAAGACTGATGTTGAAGCTGAAACTCCAATACTTTGGCCACCTGATGCGAAGAGCTGACTCATTGGAAAAGACCCTGATGCTGGGAGGGATTGGGGACAGGAGGAGAAGGGGACGACAGAGGATGAGACGGCTGGATGGCATCATCGACTCGATGAACATGAGTTTGAGTAAACTCCGGGAGTTGGTGATGGACAGGGAGGCCTGGCGTGCTGCGATTCAT